GCAGTGATTTCTTTGTTTCTAACTCCTTCCTTTTAACTTCACTAAGTACGAATCTTCATCTTGCTTAGCCTTAACATGTGCAACTAGAGAGGATTGCGCTAAGGCATAAGCAGTTATACCTCATTCTTTGGTCTCATCCAATCTAATTCCATCATTTGCTAGTTTTTGAATTTCTCGACCCAAAGATCGCCTTTGTACTACAAGATGGGCCAAGACACCCATTGACTTCCTACTAAGTGCATCTGCTACCACATTAGCTTTGCCCGGGTGATAAAGGATATTGATGTCATAATTTTACAATAGCTCGAGCCACCTTCTTTGTCTTAAATTTAATTCTTTTTGCTTGAAAATGTACTGGTGGCTTTTGTGATCTGTAAACACTTCAAAATGCTCGCCATAAAGATAGTGTCGCCATATTTTTAAAGCAAACACCACTGCTGCAAGCTCCAAGTTGTGTGTGGGGTAGTTATTTTCATGGTTCTTTAACTACATGGAAGCATAAGCAATAACTTTTCCATTTTGCATAAGAACATAATCAAGACCAACTCTTGAGGCATCACAATACAATGTGAACCCACCCGAACCTATCAGCAAGGTTAACACGGGTGCAGTGGTCAACCTCTTCTTTAACTCTTGAAAACTCTACTCACAAGCGCATGACCACTGGAACTTAACTGCCTTCTGAGTCAACTTAGTTAATGGAGCTGCAAGTGAGGAAAACCCCTCTACAAACCTTCTATAGTAGCCAGCTAACCCCAAGAAACTTCTTATTTCGGTTAGCGTTGTCAGCCTTGGCCAGTTTTTGACTGTTTCTATCTTCTGAGGGTCTACTTTTATTCCTTCACTAGATACCACGTGGCCTAAAAATGCCACTGACTACAACCAGAACTCACATTTTGAAAACTTGGCATAAAGCTCATTCTCCTTCAAGGTCTTCAAGGCTATTCTGAGGTGTTCTGCATGATCTTCCTTGCTCTTAGAGTACACCAAAATATCGTCTATAAACACAATAATAAATGTATCCAAGAATGGCTTGAAAACTCTGTTCATAAGGTCCATGAATGCAGTTTGAGCATTTGTCAACCCGAAGGACATCACTAGAAATTCATAGTGCTCGTAGCGAGTTCGAAAGGCTATTTTAGATATATCTTCTTCCCTGATTCTCAACTGATGGTACCCCAACCTCAAGTCTATTTTTGAAAAGTACTTTGCACCCTGAAGTTGATCAAATAAATCATCAATTCTTAGCAGTGGGTACTTGTTCTTAATGGTAACTTTATTCAACTACCGATGGTCGACACACATTCTAAGAGACCCATCTTTCTTTTTGACAAACAGGACGGGGGCACCCCACGGTGAAACACTCAGCCTGATGAAGCCCTTGTCAAGAAGGTCTTTCAACTGTTCTCTCAACTCATTAAGTTCTATTGGAGCCATTCTATAAGGAGGTATAGATATGGGCTGAGTGCCTGCATGAGATCAATGCCAAAGTCTATGATTCATTCAGGAGGAAATCCGAGAAGGTCATCTGGGAAAACTTCTAGAAATTCTCTAACAACTGGCACAGACTGAAGAGCTGGTGGTTCTGATTCTGGATTAATGATGTGAGCCAAATAGGCGAGACACCCCTTACCGATCATTCGTTGTGCCTTAAGGTAAGAAATAAACTTACCTACAAGCGCTGCTGAACTACCCTTCCACTCTAAAACTTCTTTATTTGGAAATTGGAACCTGACTATCTTGCCATGACAATCTAAGATGGCATAGCAGGAATATAACCAATACATACCCATGATCACATCGTAATCCACCATTTCTAACTCTATGAGATCGGCTTTGGTGTTGCGACCTTGGACTGAAACTATACAACCTCTATAGACTCTTGTGACTTTCACTGACTCGCCAACTAGAGTAGATACTAGGAATGACTCACTAAGTTGTTCAGGTTCTAGTCCAAGGTTAATTGCAAAGTATGGAGTCACGTATGAAAATGTTGAACCTGGATCCATTATGGCATAAGTATTATGTGAGCAGACTAAAAGTATACCTGTAATAACTTCTGCAGATGCCTCTGCACTCTGACAGTCAAGTGTAGCAAATAAACGGGGTTGCCCCTCTCCCTGAGTAACTCGATCTGCACCTCTGCCTTCCCCATGCCCGGTATGATTATGAGAACCACGAGCCTGGGATGGTGGAACTACAGTAGCTTAGGAACTAGAAGGACAAGTTGATCCACCACTAAAATTACGTCGCAACGTTGGGCAGTTGGCATTTATATGACCAATGTCTCCATAATGATAGCAACCATGAAACCCGAGCTTGCACTAAGCTGAATGTTGCCGCTTACAGGTTCCACAAAGACCTTATTGGTGTGAATGTTGCTCATCCTAACTCTGGCTATGTGAGGATGATGTCCTAAAATTCTGATTCTGGCGAGACTGATTTCCATAACTCTGAGTACGTCTAAAGAAAGACCCACCACCAGACTGATGACTGGACTAAGCTGGTGCTAATGACTCCTTATTAGAGGAATCCCTTCCATCTCCGCTGGGTATACCATTAAACCTGCCCGCTGTCCAGACTTTCTTGTTATGCTCTTTTTCTTCTCTCCTTTGTTGTTTGTCTTTTTCTAAGTGCTTAACGAATCCCACAACAGAGGAGAAAGTTGTCATTCCTACCACTGCAGCTGATGTCGTATCCTTAATGTGGTAAGCCAAACCGCTAACAAACCTGTGAATCTTTGCTTTTTCTGTCTTAACCATGTGAGGAGCATGTTTAGCTAGCCTTATGAGTTCCACGTAATACTCTTGAACACTTTTATTCCCTTGCTTAAGCTGTTCGAACTCTATAGCCTTAGCTCCCTATCCTCTTCTGGGATAAAGTTATCACCAGCCTAAGGCAAAGGTTGGACGACCTGGACCGAATGGTGCTCCAGGCCGAAGTTGACATAGAAAACATCAGTCGCGACTTTGAGGGAGACCGACAAACGGCAGCCATAGAGGCAGCCGAAATTTTTGGCAAATTTGAGAGACTCCAATAGGAGCGTGCCGAGGATTTAGCTTACGGGGCACAAGAGGCAGAGAGGGTGACTGCCATGCAACAAACTATTGATGACTTGACAGACAAGCTCAATGTTGTCAATGCTGCTTTACAGGGCCGGCTTCAAGGCGATGGAAACCAAATCTGGGGCGCTACAAACCCCATTTCCTTGACACAAAAACTTAAAATTCCTAATCCAAAGCCATACAGTGGAGCTAGGAATGCCAAGGAAGTGGAGAACTTCATCTTTAACGTCAAACAGTATTTCGATGCTGTTGGGGACCTAGAAGAATCTAAGAAGGTAGCAACTGCTGCCATGTATCTTCAGGGTGATGCTAAACTCTGGTGGCGGGTGAAGTACGAAGCCATCAGGGCCGGTGAAGATGCTCTCGAGACATGGGCAGAATTGAAGGCAGCCATACGCCTACAGTTCTTCCCCGAAAATGTGGAATACAATGCAAGGAGAAAACTACGGGAGCTCCGCCAGACCAAATCAGCGCGGGACTACGTGCGGGAATTCTCCGCGTTCATGATAAACATACGTGACATGGGGGACAAAGACAAGCTCTTCACCTTCCTGGAAGGGTTGAAACCTTATGTCCGTGTGGAGCTACAAAGACAAAGGGTAGATACCCTGCCCAAGGTAATCCAAGTAGCTAATGCCTTTGGGACTATTAAATGGAAGCTCGGAAGGATAGGCCTCAGCCGCCTACCCGAGCGGGATTCAAAGGGGGCCAGCCTAGAAATGGTGGCCCTAGCAAAAGTGGGGGATATCAGAGCTCAAACAAATATAAGGCTCCCTCCTCAGCCAGCAACAGTGTTGCATCAAACAACAATGACCGGGGGAGAAAGCCTCCTTCAGGATGCCGTCATTGCGGCGGACCACATTGGAACAATGAGTGTCCACATGCACAGATGAATGCCCATCAGGCTTTTGATGATGGGACTGATGATGACTCAGACGATGCGGACCATACTGAACCAGTAGGTGCCTTCAATGCAATTGTCGGCTCCATTTCTAAGGCATTAGCAGAGACCAGTGCTGGTATCCGTAAGAAGAAGGACCCATGTCCGTCACCAAGAAAGGAAAAAAGAAGGAGGATGAGGAGACTACTCTTAAACAAGAGAGAACCTTAATATTCGTTGAGATGAAGGTGAATGGCAAGCCCATTCAGGCTATGATAGACACGGGTGCTACCCACAACTACTTAGCCTCAACTCAGGTGGAGAGACTTGGTCTAGTTGTAGGGAAAGGTAGAGGTCACATCAAGGCTATTAACTCACCTCCCCAGCCAATGGGTGGAATAGCCAAAGAGGTACCGGTGAAGCTTGGCCCTTATGAAGGAAATTCAACCTGCGAGTGGTGATCATAGATGACTTCGAGTTGATAGTTGGGTTGGAATTCCTAAGGCAAACCAATACCATGCCTGTACCATTTGCAGACATGCTACTGATGATGGGAACCAATAGGTCCAAGCCCTACATTATCCCGTGCATGCCCATGAAGATAGCCGTTGAGAACATCTCGGCCTTGCAGTTGAAGAAGGGGGTCAAAAGGAATGAACCTACGTTCCTGGCAACTGTCTGCATTAAACATATTGAACGTTCCTCGAGTCCCATTCCTGAACCCATGAAGGAAATACTACTGGAGTTTGAAGATGTCATGCCACAAGACATGCCAAAGCGGCTCCTGCCTAGGCACACTGTGGACTATGAAATTGAGTTGGTGCCAGGTGCGAAGCCACCTGCCCGAGCGCCTTATAGAATGTCACAACCCGAACTCACCAAGCTTCGGAGACAATTGACGGAAATGCTAGATACAGGGATCATTGTACCCTCCAAGTCCCCATACGGGTCCCCTTGTTCTATTCCAAAAGAAACATGATGGCAGCTTGCGACTCTGTGTGGATTATTGAGCTCTAAACAAAATCACCGTGAAGAACAAGTACCATATTCCTCTAATGGCAAACTTGTTTGATAGACTGGGTGGTGCGACAGTATTCACCAAGATAGACCTCAAGACAGGTTACTGGCGAGTTCGGATCACAGAGGGTGATGAACATAAGACGGCTTGTGTGACAAGATATAGGTTGTACGATTTCCTAGTCATGCCATTCGGCTTGACTAACGCCCCAGCTACATTTTGCACTCTGATGAACCAAGTCTTCCGAGAATACATTGACGAATTCGGGGTGGTCTACTTGGATTATATTGTGGTATATAGCCAAACATTGGAAGAACACCTAGTGCACTTGCGGAAGGTCCTAACTCGATTGCGGGAGCATGAACTATATGCGAAGCTATCCAAGTGATCCTTTGCTCAAAAGCAAATTGACTTCCTCGGACATGTCATCAAGGAAGGATGGATCAAGATGGACCAACAAAAGATTCAGGCAATCACAGATTGGCCACCGCCTAAGGATGTCCACACCTTGAGGGCATTCCTTGGCCTATGCAACTTCTACCGGCGATTTGTGAAAAACTACTCCCTCATTGTGGTGCCCTAGACAGAACTCCTCAAGAAGGTCACACTCTGGATTGGGGACCGAGGCGAGCAGAGGCCTTCAACGCATTAAAAGCGGCTATGTCTAGTAGCCCTGTCTTGGCCCTCCCTTATTTGGCCAAGCTATTCGAGGTACAAACGGATGCATCCGACTATGCCCTGAGCGGTGTCTTGCTACAAGAAGGGCATTTTGTAGCGTATGAGAGTCAGAAGTTGAAGGATGCAGAGCAGCGCTATGCCGCCTATGAGAAAGAATTATTAGCTATCATCCACTGCTTGCGCCTTTGGAGGCACTATCTACTGGGGACCCCGTTCATGGTCAAGACAGACAACACAGTTGTTATCCATTTCATGACTTAGCCGAAGCTAAATGGTCGACAAGAACTTCTAGATGAATTCCACTTCAGCCTGGAGTACCGAAGTGGGAAGACCAATCATGTTCCTGATGCGCTCAGTCGGAGAGCTGACCTAGCATTGGTGTGCTTACTCACCACCCTAAGAGGGAGCGAAGTAGCCACCTCCATCAAGGACCAGATACAGGATCTACTCATTAAAGATCCTGTTGCACAATATTTGGTTGATTTGGTAGGACAGGGCAAGACTCGCTAGTTCTACATGGAAGATGGTTTCCTGAAAGTGAAAGGGAACCGACTTTATATTCCTAAAGGAGGAGATCTGCGAAGGACTCTTCTGGCGGAATGCTATGATACTTTGTGGGTCGGCCATCCCAGTGAAGAACGCACCATGGCGTTACTTCGCCGTGCATATTATTGGCCTCAAATGGCCGATAACGTCGCTTAGTATGTGAAGACTTGTCTAGTATGCCAGAAGGACAAGTCGAACCGCTTGACATAAGCGGGACTCTTAGAACCGCTAGCTGTCCCAAAAAGACCTTGGGAAAGCGTTTCCCTGGATTTCATCACCAGATTGCCCAAGGTCGGAGATCTCACAACTATCTTGGTTGTGGTGGATCGATTTTCCAAGTATGCTACCTTTATTGCAGACCCACAATATATATCAGTAGAAGATACAGCTCGAACTCTCATGTCGTCAAATATTGGGGCCTGCCCAAAGACATTGTTAGTGATCGCGACTCACGCTTCACTAGCAACTTTTGGACCCAGCTCTTTAAGTGCCTTGGGTCAAAATTGAGTCACAGCTCAAGTTTTCATACGCAATCTGATGGCCAGACGGAGCGGTTCAATGGTATGTTGGAGGAATATCTCCGCCACTTTGTAATCGGATCGCAGAAGAATTGGGTGAAGCTTCTGGATGATGCTCAACTGTGTTTCAATTCAATAAAGAGCTTTAGTACAAATAAAAGCGCTTTTGAAATTGTTACCGGACAACAACCGCTACTCCCACACACTATGAATGCACCAAATATGTCTAAATCTCCTCGAGCTGCTAGCTTCTCAAAAGAGTGGAAGCAAACTTTGGAGATAGTGCGAAGCTATCTTGTCAAAGCTAAAAAACGGATGAAGAGGCATGCTGATCAGAATCGTCGCTTTGTTGAATACCAGGTAGGAGAAGTGATGGTCAAAATTCCAAAGCGGTACTTATTTGCGGGGGTCCATGACCCTCTCATATTGCAAAAATACATTGGACCTCTGTCCATTGAAAGGCGCATTGGGAAAGTTGCATACCGGGTGGATACCCCAGCTTGGTGGAAAATTCATCCTGTCTTCCATGTCAGCCTCCTGAAACCTTTTAGGGAACACACGAAGGATCCTTCACGGAGCCAGCTCACAATACCCAGTATTCGAGGTCCCAATTCAACCGAGAAAAGGAGTGTTGAAGTTATCCTTGATGATAGAGTTATTCATGCCTCAAGGAAAGATCACCAAGAGTTGTTGGTGAAATGGCAGGGCTGTGATGCAGAGGAGAATACTTGGGAGAGGGGAGCAAACCTCAAAGCCTACAAGAGCCTAATTGAAGATTATATTGCAAGTAAGGCGCTGAGGACGTCGCCAACTCAGGTGGGAGAGAATGTCATGGGCGGCTTTCCAGCCATATTCCATGACCCCTTGGGCGCGCCCCGTGACGTCCTAGCAAGCCTCCCAATGCCTAGCGCCACGGATGGCCCCGTGGTCTTGGCCGTGCCAAGTGACAAACGCGCATGTGCCTCTATCACCCCACCGATATCCCTCGCCAGCGCCCAGCCGTAGGCAGATGCCAACAGCGCCGTGTTAGACAATGTCGCGTGTGCCGACCGTGATGCCAAAGACGCTACTGTTGACAACGGACCTGTTTCTGCCTTGTAGAAAACTAAGTCCTTTTCATTGTAAATGTAGAGTAGGTTTATTTCATGTACTTCCATTATGTTTCTCTAGCTTAGTCAAGTCTAATCTTGTAGCTTTGGATTATTTTTTTAAGCATTATTAGGGGGGATCAAACAATCAAACTTTCTAGCAAGCAAACAATTCTCTGTACTGGTGTCTCCCCCTCGACACCGCGTTGCTTTTTGTAATAGCTTTCATCAATGCAGTCAAGCTTTCTTTCATTCTCAATTCTCATTTCTGTTCTCTCAATTGCTCTTGACATTAGTTTTTCCGTACGACACTGAAAATCTAGTCTAGCGTACGGAGGGGACCTCAGTTGGCGGACAATAACTGCACTGACATCAGTTGCTTAGCCTTACGTCGCCCTGCCAAGGAATCTCAGGAAGGCGCCGCGTAACAGTACCATTGGCCATGTAGATGGGCGAATAAACTTATACAAGACTGAAATTTTAACCAACGAAATTGATCAACCTGATTTCGGAGATACGAAAATTCACGTGGAATAGGACACAGACCTCTTATGGACTTATGTATGATGGCTTCAAAGTTAACGAAAAGGTCGTTAGAGATGTTGTAAATCTTCACTGGAAGGTATACTTTAGCTTGTTTATTATTTTCTTTACCTTTTTTGTGGTATATTTTACATTAGCTGATCCAAGATTATGCTTCCCTTGTCATTTATCAGATGCATTTTGTGGGTTTTTACAACTGCTGGAATGGTGAGAACTCAACTTATATCCTTCATTTTCAAAAGATTTATCACATTGCTCCTTGCTTTTATGATCATATGAGTATTTGCTCTCTTCTCCTGTGTATTTATTGCGACAGATTACCAGAAAGAGAGATCCACACAAGTATTTATATTATGCGATAAGCCAAAAGATGCAAACTTGATTTTGATCAGCTTTAGGGGTACAGAGCCATTCGATGCTGATGATTGGATCACTGATTTTGACTATTCTTGGTATGAGATTCCGAAATTGGGAAAAGTACACATGGGATTTTTGGAGGCTTTAGGCTTAGGAAACAGAGGAAATACTTCGACGTTTCATGAACAAATCTTCGTTAAAAATGCAAAATATACCAATTCAGAGAATGTTGATGCAAACAGTGGATCAAACCAATCCTCCTCCGACTCAGAGCAGCCGCCACAGAAGACTGCTTACTATGCTGTTAGAAGTAAACTCAAAAGCTTACTAAAGGAGCACGAGAATGCTAAATTTGTTGTTACAGGACATAGCTTAGGAGGAGCGTTGGCTATACTATTTCCAACGGAGCTAGTGATGCACGAGGAAGTGAAAGTCATGCAACGATTATTGGGCGTATACATATACGGGCAACCTAGGATTGGGAACAGACAGTTAGGGAAGTTTATGGAAGCTCATTTGGAACATCGAGTGCTAAGTACTTTAGAGTTGTTTATTGCAATGATCTTGTTCCGAGGTTACCTTATGATGATAAAACATTCCTGTATAAGCATTTTGGTATTTGCATGTATTACAACAGCTTATACATTGAGCAGGCAAACATCAATGCCCTTTTGATCTGCCCTTTTGAGCAGGAACTTTTTTGGGCTGCGATTCGTGTTACCAGTGTATCTGAATGCTGGTTGGGAGTTCATTAGAAGCTTACATATATGGATCTGAGTACAAGGAGAGTTGGGATTCAGTACTGCTTGGGATTGTAGGGCTATTTCTTCCGGGCATTTCTGCTCACAGTCCAGTTGATTATGTCAACTCCATAAGACTTGGAAGGGAGAGCTGCATTCAGATGTCATCCTTCTAGAAATTACTATTAGTTGATGGAAATGCATCGATAAGGTGATTTTATTATGAGTTTCTGCAGCATTTGTATCAAATGTTGTTGATTTTGAAGGTCTTTTTTAGCATTTATGCCTTGAAAATAAACTCATTAAAGCTTTTGTTGTCTTGAATAACGTTATATGTTTACACATCACTACCCGCATAAGGTAGGGGCAAGGTCTACATACTCACTACCCTCCTCAGACCTCACATATAGGAATATACTGGGCATGTCGTTGTTGTTGTTATTTACACATCAATTTTAGGTGTTGTAATTGCAAGAATTGTTGAACCAGTTATGAGTTTTCGACTGAATGTATTAATAAGATGACATTCAAAGGGTTGTAGATTGGATTTGTTCCTGTCACCTTATTGAATAAATCTTATTTCAATTTTTACATGTTAGATTTGTTTGAATATGAAGATGAATTGCATCAGTTGATTTTTTATTCCACAAATCTTTAGCCAGGAAACAAGTACTTATCTGTGATCAGTTAAAACTTGTAAATGATGTAAGTGTATTTCACTTCATACTGCAAAAGATAGATTACACCTAGAATATATACACAAAGCTAGAGACATAATTTCAAGAGTGTATCCCTAAGATCATGACTTTTACCCACAATCTTTGACTATACCATCAGACACAATCTAACATACAATCTAATATTGAAATACTCTCTCACAAAATCTAAGTCTTAACACTCCTCCTCAAGCAGGAGCGT